CTTCGTATAGAACACCACTACATTGAATGTCGAACAACGTTGTATTACTGATCAAGAAGCACAACATTTAGCCAACGTCCTACAAGATAACAAAGTAACATATTTCCCTTATATTTGTATTCTAGCGATCACTCATTATTTTACATAGACACTCACTACATTCAATTTCTGCGAGAACAACATCTATTTACGAGGAGCACAAAGTCTTTTCAATGCTCTCAAAAGAAACAACGTAACATTCTTTTCTTGTTTTCTTTATTTCATCACTTATTCATTATTTCACATAGACACTTACTACATTGAATCTTTGTTGCAGTGATATCGGTGATCAAGGACTACAATATTTAACCGAAATGTTACAAGAAAACAAAGTAATACATGCATTTCATTTTTTTCTTATTTTATCAATCATTGGTTATTTCGCATAGACACTCGTCACACTAAATCTCAATCGGAATTGCATCAGAGATGCAGGAGTATGTTATCTTGCCAACGCTCTACAAAAAAATGAAGTAAAATTCTTCTAGCACTTTTTTTATCTTATCGCTCGTTCATATTTCATACAGACACTCATCGCCCTGTACCTAGAATGTAATGTGATAGGTCCAGCAGGTGCAAAACATCTTGCTAATGTTATATAAAATAATAAAGTAATATTCTTGTCATATTATCTTATTCTAATACATCAACTATTCCACATAGACACTCACTACAATCAATCTCTTCGACAACCGGATCTGTTCACAAGGAGCACTAAGTCTTGCTAATGCTCTCAAAACAAACAAAGTAACATTCTTCTCACATATTTTCTTAATCCTATCATTTACTGATTGTTTCACTTAGACACTTACCACACTGAACCTCGGGAACAATGAGATTCATGAAGGAGTAGAGTATCTTGCCGATGCTCTACAAGATAACGATGTACATTCTTTCTTCATTTTTCTCATCCTATTATTTACTCGTTGCTTTATACAGGTACTTACAACATTAGATCTCGGACAAA